TGTGTAGTAAACATCACAACTGGGGAGACAAAGACGGTCGGGCGTGTTGCTAGCTGCCCATCCCCCCGTGTGCCGTGCTGGCCTTCGTAGATGCTGCTTGCTGACAGCACTTGACCGCAACAGTCTGTGAAGGCTACACGGGGCATCTTTTTAATTGTGGACCGAGTTGGCACAGTCGCGGGCACAGGTGGTGCATCTGGCAGTCATCTCAGTAAACCTATGGCACCTGCAGGGTCCGTCTCGTGACCTGCACCTAGCCTGGCACAACAGTCAACCCATGGCATGGCACCTGGTTCTGTCCTGTGACAACAGTCTGTTAAGGCGGCACAGGGGAGATCATTGACTTTTTGGTAAATATGTGAGTGAGTAAATGTTTGCATGCGTAAATACGCGTGTGGGTGTGTTCACACGTGTGTGTGTGTGTTAATGCATTTCCGTGTGTTCACACGTGTGTGCGTGTGTTAACGCGTGTGCATATGGGGAGCGGTAGTGTAGCGGTTAGCGCGCTGCGCTATGAACCCGGCGACCCGGGTTCGATTCCCGCTCACGGTCAACACCAGTGACGATTATTTGAACCGGTCCTGTGCCTCCCCTATGTCGGCTCAGCCTCAACTGAGTACCTGGTGCGGTGTGTAAACATCACCACTGGGGAGACAAAGACGGTCGGGCGTGGTGCTGGCCACCCACCCCCTCGTGTACCGTTCTGGCCTTCATAGGTGCTCACTAACAGCACTTGCCCCTACAGTCTGTTAAGGCTATACGGGGGAGCTTTGTCCTTGCATATGTTCATGCGTGTCCGTGTGTTCACACGTGTGTTCACGTGTGTGCGTGTGTTCACGTGTGTGCGTGTGTTCACGTGTGTGCGTGTGTTCACGTGTGTGCGTGTGTTCACGCAGGAGGAGGCAAGGGGGCTGCTTCACGCTGGGCCACCGTGGGAGAGTCTCACGCGAGGGCAGCTTCCAGCAAGCGCAAGGTCTCTGTGCACAGCGCACGGCACTCCTCTCGTTACAGCTGCTGCTGCTGTTGTCTTTAGTTTGTTGTCCTTCCCCCGCACCTCCCATTAGCGAGGTTGGCTACGTACGGTGACAAAGACATTCAACGTACATACATACTACTAGACACTGCTATACCAGGGACGTGCGGTCAGGGGAGACGGGCGAGGCAGAGCCTCACCTGTCATATACTCCAATGAAAATAGCTGTTACGAAAAGTACAAAAAAATGTTCCACTGGTCTGTGTTATAAAAGTAATTTCTATATAATTATACCAGAGACGTGCGTCATTATTGTGGTGGTGGTGGTATTGGAACGCGCGCACACCAGCTCCGGTTAACTCCCATTACTTACCTGTGCGGGGCGGTTGTGATATCCCTAGCCGGGGCCCCTCCCGAGGGGAGGGGGCTGTGGGGTGTGTGTGATCCCACAGAACCCCGCCCCTCAGTGGGGAATCGTATAAAAGGCGAGACTCTGAGAGGAGAGAGTTAGTTCGAACAAGCCAAGGACAAAGAACCAGCTGAAGTCCAGCTAGCTAGACCCTGGGACTCCTCTGACCCGCTGTCCTTCTAAAGGCCGGGCAGAGCAAGCCAGTGGTGCGACCCCAGAGCCGCGAAGGCTGATGTCCTTGTAAGGGCCGGATTCGTGTGGCTGGTGGTCGGGACCTGTGCCTTGGCTGGGCCAGGTCAGGTAGTCTCCTTGAGAGGAGGGTCGTAGTATTGGTGGTGAGTCGGTGAGTTAGCTTGGGGAGTTAGCTCCCTTGAGAGAACGGGTGAAGAGGCCGTTACCTCTTCAAGTGTGAAGCTGTAACGGGCTCAGAGTTAATAAATATGGGTTGCCTCTACTTCAACTGTCTCTGTCGTCACGGTGTCCACTACATTATTATAATTAGTTTATTAATTAGTTGAGTTGTGAAGAGGCATGGCCTGCCATACCCACCGAGGTTCAGCATGACGGCATGGTTCTGCTTGATGTATGGAATCAGATTTACAGATTCAGAATATCAGAATTAAAATATGTATTGTACTGGAGGAATCCGATGAGGTGTCAGGGTCGAGATGGAACCCGCGACCTCCTGCGTACCAGGCGAGGGAGTTAACATCTCCTAGCCACCGCTGGTCACCGCACCAACTCCGCCCCCACACCCCCTCCGCCCCCTCACCCCACCGCCCCCTCCGCTCAGACTAAAGCGGAAGCCCTGGAGTACGTGTGGAGCATCTTGCAGGGCGTGGAGGAGGAGGAGCAGCAGGAGGAGGAGTTCAGGGGATTTGAGCTGAGGGAGGTGCACAAGGCCAGGATGGCGATGTTCAGGCTGGAGCGCAGAGCCACCGCCTGCAAGGAGGCCCTGAGGGTGGCGCTCCAGAGGATACGTGGAGGTGCGTAGCCTGCAGCGGTGATTTCTATTCCCACCGCAACTCCACACTCCCCTCTATTCTCACCGGAACTCCACACTCCCCTCTATTCTCACCAGAACTCCACGCTCCCCTCTATTCTCACCGGAACCCCACACTCCCCTCTATTCTCACCGGAATTCTACACTCCCCTCTATACCCACCAGAACTCCACACTCCCCTCTATTCTCACCAGAACTCCACACTCCCCTCTATTCCCACCGGAACTCCACACTCCCCTCTATTCCCACCGGAACTCCACACTCCCCTCTATTCTCACCGGAACTCCACGCTCCCCTCTATTCTCACCGGAACTCCGCAATCTTCTGTTAGTGCTGATGGAAGTCGCCACTGCTGTTGATGCTACTGCTACATGTGCTCCTGTCAGGGCTGCTGCTGGTACTGATGCAGCCTATGAACTAAACGATGTTTATTTTTCTTATTGGTTCTTTCGGTAAAGTCACGTAGAAGGGAAGTAATAAAATAATAAAAATAAAACATAACAAAACAATTCTCACGACGTTTCGGCCACAACGCAAGCAGCCGTCCTCAGGTGAAAACCAGGTCTGTCGAGGCGACAGCGTCTGAATGATACAGCACACGTGCTTGGAGCATATATATAAGCTGGGTTGGAAGGGGGGAAAAGAGCGCCTTGACAAAAGAATATGCATATCAAGAGGCATTTAGCATATTTATGGGAAATGCAGGTATGTGATTAGTACTACTCATGCCCGTGCATTATGCAGGATTAGCAGCATCAAAGGGAGGGGATATGGGAAATGCAGGTATGTGATTAGTACTACTTATGCCCCTGCATTATGCAGGACTAGCAGCATCAAAGGGAGGGGATATGGGAAATGCAGGTATGTGATTAATACTACTTATGCCCGTGCATTATGCAGGATTAGCAACCAGGGTGTGCCCCACTGAGCTGTGTAGCTGTTTTTCAGAAGCGACTGGCTATCACAAATAAGAGCTCAACGAAGTGACTTGTCATCATCGTCATTACGTGGACATTTATAGCAGCCAAATATTCTCAACGCATGACGTTGGTTCTATATGTCGAGGGAAAAAAACGAAGGACCCGGAGAAAAATCCACGCAACCACGGGGAGGTATTCGCCATGAAAGTTTGCACAGACAAGGAATTTACTATGGCCGGAAGGTGCATACATTCAACATGTAGGAATCTTAAAACTGAAATGAGTGGTATACAGTCAAACTATACTAAAATTACAAAGTCTAACTAATACTAAGGGGCTAAAGTATGTAAAATTGTGAATAAGTGTACAATATAAAATGTAAACTAGCCATAATATACAATCTAAAAATACAAAAATACAAATAGGGTAACATGTTGTAAACTATACAGTCGGGATGGAACCCACGACCTCCTGTAGACCATGCGAGGGAGTTAACATCTCGCCACGGAGGAGAGAGAGACACGCAGACTCCAAATATACAGCAGGCTTCGTCAGGGTCGGGATGGAACCCACGACCTCCCGTATACCACGAGAGGTAGTCAACATCTCGCCGTGTTTGCCTGCAGGCTCCTCCGTGCCGCCGGCCTCCGCCCAGGCTGTGGCGGTGTCGCGCAGCGCTCGCTCTCGCTACGGCCTGCGCCCGCGCGAGAGGAAAGTCTACACAGAGGTGGAGGAGCCCCAGGACGACGACTTCTGTGAGACCCCCTGCTCCCTCTCACTCTCTCTCTCACTTTCTCACTCTCTCTCTCACACTGTCACTTTCTCACACTCTCTCTCTCACTGTCACTTTCTCACACTCTCTCTCACTGTCACTTTCTCACACTCTCTCTCACTGTCACTTTCTCACACTCTCTCTCACACTGTCACTTTCTCACACTCTCTCTCACACTGTCACTTTCTCACTCTCTCTCTCACACTGTCACTTTCTCACACTCTCTCTCACACTGTCACTTTCTCACACTCTCTCTCACACTGTCACTTTCTCACACTCTCTCACACTGTCACTTTCTCACACTCTCTCTCACACTGTCACTTTCTCACACTCTCCTCCACACTGTCACTTTCTCACACTCTCTCTCACACTGTCACTTTCTCACACTCTCTCTCACACTGTCACTTTCTCACACTCTCTCTCACACCTGTCACTTTCTCACACTCTCTCTCACCGTCACTTTCTCACCTCTCTCTCTCACTGTCACTTTCTCACACTCTCTCTCACACTGTCACTTTCTCACACTCTCTCTCACACTGTCACTTTCTCACTCTCTCTCTCTCACACTGTCACTTTCTCACACTCTCTCTCACACTGTCACTTTCTCACACTCTCTCTCACACTGTCACTTTCTCACACTCTCTCTCACACTGTCACTTTCCTCACACTCTCTCTCACACTGTCACTTTCTCACACTCTCTCTCACACTGTCACTTTCTCACACTCTCTCTCACACTGTCACTTTCTCACACTCTCTCTCACACTGTCACTTTCTCACACTCTCTCTCACACTGTCACTTTCTCACACTCTCTTAGGGCCGTCCATTAATGGCGTCACGCGATTTTGGACCCCCCTCCCCCCCATCACACGACATCACAAAAAGTCAGACCCCCCCCTCAAATGTGACGTCACAAAGCTCATTTAATATGCTTAAAATCGCTTCAAACTATTGTCATTGTAGTGCATATTTAATGTGGCACTGCAGTCTGATGTTGTAGGAGAAAACATTTATTAAAAAGTATTTAATTAAGTAGAACGTGTTGTCTGTGGTTCCTCACACATCGTCACAAATGTCTGACCCCCCCACCCCCCTAGGTGCATGAAGTCATTTATGGACGGCCCCTTACTCTAACTTTCTCACACTCTCTCCTATCTCTCTCTATTGCTCCCGCGCTCTCACTCGATATATTCCACCTGCTCCCTCTCACTCTCTCTCCCTTTCCCTCCCTCTCACACGCTCCCTTTCTCGCACTCTCACTTACCTCCCTGTCTTTTGCTCCCTCACTCAGGGATGCAGGGAGGGAGCAGGGAGGGTGACAGGGTTTACATCTCCGATGAGCGAGCTAAAGAAGTTCACAATGCAGAGAGGGAGGAAAGGAGGCATCTGTCTGGAGCGCTCCTCACCCTCTCACTCTCTCACAGTGCCACTGCTGCTGCTGCTGTTGCTACTGCGGTTCGCCCTCCTCCTGCTGCTGCTGCTGTGGCTCTCAGTCTGCGAGCTGTGCAGGGATTTCTACCTGGGGGAGTGCTCCGTGCACGGCCCGCCAGAGTTCATTGCAGACGCGGCCGTGGCCCCGGGAGTGGCCAACAGGGCCCGGCTCAGCCTGCCCCAGGGCCTCACCGTCGGCGCCTCCTCCATCGCCGGCGCCGGCCTCGGGGTGTGGAGCAACAGGAAGAAGCTGCCCAAGGGGGTGATTTTTGGGCCCTACCAGGGAGAGGTGTCTGAGGAGAACCCCGTGAGCGAGTACTGCTGGCTGGTGAGCTGCTGCTGCTACTGCTGCAGCCTCCTCCTATTCCTACATCATCATCGTGTGTGTGGAGAGGAGGCTCGTGAAGGAGATGCAGAGAAACCCATAGCCTCACACAGTCACCCACAGACTTACACAGAGATCTAGAGACTGGCACAGAGAGACCCAGAGACTCACAGAGACCCATAGACTCACACAGAGACCCATAGACTCGCACAGAAACCCATAGACTCACACAGAGACCCATAGACTCGCACAGAGACCCATAGACTCGCACAGAGACCTATAGACTCGCACAGAGACCCATAGATTCACACAGAGACCCATAGACTCGCACAGAGACCCATAGCCTCACACAGTCACCCACAGACTCACACAGAGACCCAGAGACTGGCACAGAGAGACCCAGAGACTTTGCACAGAGACCCAGAGACTCGCATAGAGAGACCCACAGACTTGCACAGAGACCTAGAGACTTGAACAGAGACCCAGAGACTCACAGTGGGACACACAGACTCACACAGAGACCCAGAGACTCACACAGAGAGACCCAGATACTCACACAGATGCTCAGAGAATCGCACAGAGAGATCCACAGTCTCACACAGAGACCCAGAGACTCGCACAGAGACCAAGAGAATCGCACAGAGACCCACAGTCTCACACAGAGACCCAGAGTCGCACAGATACCCTAGAGACTCGCACAGAGACCCAGAGACTCGTACAGAGACCTAGAGACTCACCCAAAGACCCCCAGAATCACAGAGAGACCCAAAAATTAACGTAATTATTTGAACTTGTAACACACAGCAAAGACGGTGGTCACCGCATGGCGCGGCGCTTACAGATGCACTTCTGCGGCCGTCTGGAAGGTTCTTCCTTCCAATGTTAGGAAGCCACTGGGAGCTATGCACTTTAAAATCTTGTAGATTGAAAATGCATTTCTTTAGAACTGCTTTTAGTGTTTAGTTTGTTGTCCTTCCCCCGCACCTCCGATCAGCATGGTTGGCTACGTGCGGTACGAAAGAAGTTCAACTTACAGTCCAACTGACATTAATTATCCGTGGATCCGCTCGTGTGCGTGTGTGTTTCAGATTTACAAAAACAAAAAGGATCGTGAATATGTTGATGCTCAGGATGAATCTAAATCAAACTGGATGAGGTGATTATTGTCTGAAGGACCACTACACAGAGACCAGAACCACTACACACAGAGACCAGAACCACCACACACAGAGACCAGAACCACCACACACAGAGACCAGAACCACTACACACAGAGACCAGAACCACTACACACAGAGACCAGAACCACTACACACAGAGACCAGAACCACTACACACAGAGACAAGAACCACTTCACACAGAGACCAGAACCACTACACACAGAGACCAGAACCACTACACACAGAAACCAGAACCACTACACACAGAGACCAGAACCACCACACACAGAGACAAGAACCAGCACACACAGACCAGAACCACTACACACAGAGACCAGAAACACCACACACAGAGACCAGAACCACTACACACAGAGACCAGAACCAGCACACACAGAGACCAGAACCACTACACACAGAGACAAGAACCAGCACACACAGAGACCAGAACCACTACACACAGAGACCAGAACCACCACACACAGAGACCAGAACCACCACACACAGAAACCAGAACCACCACACACAGAGACAAGAACCACCACACACAGAGACCAGAACCACTACACATAGAGACCAGAACCACCACACACAGAGACAAGAACCACTACACACAGAGACCAGACCCACTACACACAGAGACCAACCCTGGGCCTCCCCTTGGTCGACTCGGCATCAAATGAGCACCCGGTACGGAGCGTGGTTCCAGCCACACCACCCCCACGTAGCGCCCAGTGCCGGCCCTTAATAGGCGCTCGCTAACGGCGCCCACCCCGCCCCCGCGTCTGCCCGCGCAGGTTCGTCAACTGCGCGAGGAATGAGCAGGAGCAGAACCTGGTGGCCTTCCAGCACCGGGGGCAGATTTACTACCGCACATTCCGTGCCGTGGGGCCCGGCTCTGAGCTGCTGGTCTGGTACGGCGAGGAGTTCGCCCAGGAGCTGGGCATCGCCTGCGAGGCCGGGCCCTCGCGACGCCGCAGCAGCAGCAGCAGCGAGATGGCTCCTAGGGCCACCGCCAGAGACCTGCAGCCCGTGCAGCCTCCACCAAGCGAGGAACACCGTGAGCACTGCTCACCAGAGACTCACCACTGCTCACCAGACTATAGCCACCACTCACCAGAGATGATAGCCACCACTCACGAGAGACGATAGCCACCACTCACCAGAGATGATAGCCACCACTCACCAGAGATGATAGCCACCACGCACCAGAAATGATAGCCACCACTGTTGTATGTGTTGGTATTATGAAATTTTGATGAAAATAATAAAAATTAATAATTTTCCGAAAAATGCGCAAATCGCATTAATTATGATAGTGTGTGTATTAATACGCATAAATTATGATAATGCGTGTAATTATATGCATAAATTATGATAATCACGGAGATAATCGTAGTAATTTATGCTGAGGCTTGCGATTATGTTAATGTGTGCAGTTGTGATAATTTGCTTAGTTTCGTTTATCCAGGGTTATCAATCAGGATAACACGATTATCATAGATTCATTTACCGATTATCCTAGTGTGTGTTATAATATTTTAGGTCTCCATTTTCATATCTCATCACAGGATACAGTTGTCAAGAATAAGACAGTTTTGCATGGACTTGGAAGGAACCCTCGATATGCTTCTGGATTACAATTTTATTCTAACAAGCACGTGACATTCTATCATGCAGGTCAAACATGCGTCAATAATTCATGGGCAAGATTATGCAATTAACTAATATGAACGACAAAAACTTATGCAGTTGTGACATTATGCAATTATGCAATATGAATAACGAAAACTCTTATGCATTTATGTAACTCGACGGCAGCAACTGCTTTGCACGATCAGTTGATATTGAACGCACCACCTCGAAATGGCAAACCTTTTTGAAACGAAAAGACAGTTTTTCTTTTAAAGTCTTATTCGTGTGCGTGCTGTGTGTGCGTTGTCCCCTCGTAATATTAATTGTGTCGTTAGCTTGTGTGGTGTGAGAGGATACGAACAGCTCCTGCTGCTCCCTCGCTCGGCGTGTCGCTCGGCTTTTGCTCTCTCTCTCTCTCTCCACTGCTGGATTGAGCGGCGTTGGCACGATGTTCCTTGAAGAAACTTGCTTGCTTGGCGCTTGATGGTTCCGGGGGCTTGGTGCTGCTCGTGCGCTCTCTCTTTCTACTGCTAGATGACGAGTTGGCACGATGCTGTCCTTGAAGATGCTCGGTCGCTCGTGTCGCTCGGTGTCGCTCGGTGGCGCAAGGTGTCGCTCGTTGTCGCTCGTTCAGCGATCTCCGCCTTTCCTGCGGGTTGTTCGCTGGTCGTCACTCTGACGAGGAGCGATGCTTCGTTCGTGGCAGGGTGGACGTTGGCGTCTTTGTTGGCTTCACTCGCAGCTCTGCGACTCAGGGTAGCGATTCTTCTCAGGTGGTGCAGACCTCGGCTTGTAGCTACGCGTCGCTACTCCGCAAACCTCGTCATTCTGAATGACAGGAGCTTCTTCGTTGGCGGCGACGAGGAGAGATGGAGCCACAGCCCTGGAGATCTGTGATGGGGGCCAGAGCCCCTGACGATCTCTGTGATGGGGGCCAGAGCCCCTGACGATCTCTGTGATGGGGGCCAGAGCCCCTGACGATCTGTGGTGGAGCCGAAGATGGGCTCGTAGCCCGGATGATATGTGTGTTGGAGCCGAAGCCCGGACGATATGCTTTGTATGGATTTTCCTTCGGTTTATATCGGAAAATTCCACTCGGCTTCCCGAGTTGTTCAAAGGCTGTGTCATAAAACCTTCCTGTGGGGGTGGACCATCTGCGTCCGTGTGTGTGTCCGTCCGTGTGTTTCGCGTGCGTGTTTGTCCGTGTGTTTATTAGCTTTGAAGACACAGCTGTGTGTGTCGTTCTGGAAGAAAGGGGTGGGGGTCTCGTGACGGTGCCACCAAAGTTATCCATTAGCCAGACCGATGATTCGCGTCGAGTTATAAAAAAAACATTCGAATCCATGTTTTGTTACTGAATAATATTTGTCGCGAAAACTTACGCGTTAAGCGAGCTTAATTATTACCTCCCTTGCTCTGGGATCACATCCTTTGTCTCACACAGCTTAAGTTGGTTTGGTTTGGAAGTTGAAATGCAACTTATTTGCTGCTTGGTTCCATCTGCACAGTTATGCCGAAACCGTGTTCACGATGTTTCATCGTGACCCAACCTTTATGGGTGTCATTTCCTGGCTTGGTGCCTGTGTGTGGAGATCCTCTCGGAAAGACAAAGGCGGTCGTGTTGCTCGCTTTCCATGGGTGTTGTGTTTGGTTAATTTTGAGAGCCTTCTCCGCCCTTGATTCCTCTTCTATTTTAATTCCGTACTTATTATTCGACTTCTTGTGATTATTTGATCTGATATCCTGGCTAGGAATTTGTTTTGGAGCGAAATAGATGCCCTAATTATTCTTTGATGCTTCGGCCCGGCCGTGTAGATATTCTTTAAAGGTAAATAATGTCAGTACTTAATTAACAATGATGGGTCGCGATTCTGGTGCAGATTGTCTTTTGGTTTTCAATTGGAGTGAGGATGGATACTGTTTGCTTAATCTTTATGGTTGAGTTGGTAACTTGTGTATTTAACATGGTTCAAAGACCCATCTGTGCTTTTTGTCGTCGATGCTGTTTCTTTGTTAAGAATATAATTATCTCTTCCTCCGTGTCTCCTGGTTCTGCAACCCCCCGCCTGCAATTCCCCCCTCCCTTGTTCCTCTTGTGTGAAATTCGGGGAGTTTATGACCTTGATTACCCTCTTTCATGCCGTCTTTCCTTTGAAATGAGGTATGCGCGCATCTGTGGAAGTGTGGGGGCCTCTGTGGAAGTGTGGGGGCGTGTTCGTTCCCACGTGGCCCCGTGTCTATTAAAAAACAATATTATATATGATGGCAGAATAAGCCTTAAAAAAAAAAAAGAATATTAAAAAAAAATAAAAAGGGGGTACATACACAACAGTCCGCCCGTTTGAAAATTATCAGGGGTCGATTTGGCCACTGGCGAATTTTCAAACAAAGTAATGCCCCCTTTTTATGTCATGAATCCCATCAGCCGCCCTTACTCTCGGCGGTTATTTCTTACGACGCGCGTGCACGTATTACCATCTTAACCTGGTTACATCTGAAATAAGCAAAGAAAATAAACAACACGTTAACATCGATATTGCGTTACATCGGTTCTCATACATCATAACTCTGACGAACATTCATTTTTGTTTTGTTAAATCCTGGGAAACGCTAGGTAGCGGTTTCGAACGCATTTATGCGTTACCTTCCTCATGTTGCCTGGTTTACCACTTATCACTTTGATAATTTGATCACGGTTTTCGGGTTCGTTTTTGTAGTTTCCTCTCTCACTCTCTCGCGTCGTGGGAGTGTGTGGTGAAAAATTGTGCTGCACGTAACCAGAATTCGCGCACACGACCCATTTTGACACTTGGTTCGTGGCATTCGCTCTCTCTGCGATTACATGCACATTTGCCGAGTCAGTGTGTCGACTTAATTCCGTGCCTCGTAATGTTGCCCTCTTTGTTTTTACGAGTGTGTTAGATTCCAACACCATTCCTGATATGTCATGAACATTCGTCTCCATTTTAGCACTCCGATCCACATACATTTTGGTTTCCCTTGGATATTTTCCATTCAAAGGCTCACGCCTGCGCTCCTCAGGGCGTGTCTCTGTGTTCTCTCTTTGTCTCTGCTGTCTGCTATCCACCGTCCGATCACACTTCAATTCAGCCCTGTCACTTGCAGCCTGCTCAGGGTTTAACACCTCGGCGGGTGGGGCGCGTGTTGGCCGCTCGCTCGCACTCACTGTGGATGGTTCATCACGTATTTGGACCGCATTCTGTGTTATTCCTCTATTCCCTCTTGGTATAGCCGGTGGAGGAATTGGTCGGAATTGGATCGATTGTGTTTGACCTCCCATCCTGCGATTCTCCTGAATGTTCGCATCCATACCTCCGCGGTCTGTGTAACACCTTCCCGCTAGGTGGTTATCTTGCCATCTCTGTGCGTAATTTGAACCTTGCGTGTGTCGTGGGATGGGGTGTTGATATGGTTCTGCTCTGAACCTCTCCCTCCTGCGATTCTCGTACATTTTTGGCCAAGTATTTCTCCCATTTGGGTGCCACATTTTTCCTGGATTGTTACCTCGCCATCTTTGTGGGTAATTTTGATCTTGTGTGTGTCGTGGCATGGGGTGTTGATATGGTTCTGTTCTGAACCTCTCCCTCCTGCGATTCTCCTGAATGTTCGGCTTTGTGCCGCTCTCATTCTCGTGCCAACCTCTCTCTGGGTTATTTTGCCATGTGTGCGTGCGTTTCTGCTCCGTCCTGCATGGTGGGACTGCTCGGTGATTTTTATTCCTCTCTGAGAGGCTGGGTTCCTCATCCCTCTCCCTGTGTTCTGGATCCGAATTATGATTCTTAGCTCTGTATAACCATGCCATGTACGCCTTGCTCTCTATGCGGCGTAAGGATGCGGTTTCTGGATTCAAAACCATTCTCACCCTTTCTGTAATCTCTGGGCTCAAGGATTCAAAAAACATAATTTTGAACATTTTATCTCCTTCGTGGTATTGATTCACATCGCCTGCGTAATACGCTCTTTTAAATTGGACGAGGTAGTCACGTGGATCTTGGTCCATGCCCTGGGTCATCGATTTTACAGCATAAAACCCCTCAGTGAGTGTCGAATATTCTCCAAACTTCCGAATCACTGCCAGGCTCAGTTGTTTAAAATCATTTCTAACCTTGTGTGGTAGTGACTTTACCCATGGAATAGATTCTTTATGTAAGGTCCGTTTCAACAAACTCGCTTTTTCATCCCGTCTCCTCAGCCCTCTAATCATTGCCTCCTCTTCTACGGTTGCGATATGTGTGTGGATATCCATAGTCTTATTGTGGGGGTCAAAATCGGGAATTCTGACTAGAGCCTTGTCCATCAATTTAAGGGTTTTACTGGTGAATAGGTATTCCGAAAGTTGATTGCCGACAGCGTCATCATCAAACAAGTTATCATCAGGCAATCTGTCACTTTGGTCTGTGCTGTGTCGCTTGTGTTTAAGTGGTGTGCATTTTCTGTGTGCGCGCCCAGTGCCGTGTCGCTCGTGTTGCCATTTCCCTTCAGTTTTTGCCTCTGCCCTTAGTGTACCATGTCCTGGCGATTTTACTTTAACATTTTTCCTCCCTCTATCTGTGAAGTTGTCAGTCTCACATGTTTTTGTTTGCATATGTATCTCTCCATTCCTTCTCTCGAATTGTGAGGGTTTCCCTTTGTCAATGATTTTTTGTTCGATATCCATAATTTTTGTGCGATTAGTCCCTGGACTCTGTCCACGTACCCAAGAGTGTGATTTAATGTTACTTCCATATTTATTCTGTGGATCAACGTCTGTGAGTTTCGCTGGTGTCGCGAGCACTGATTTCTCTCCCGTTTCCTTTCCAAATTTTCCCTCATTCCACAATCCCTGTCTGTATGCCTGTGTGAGAAGGCATGAGTCCTGTCCTGCCTTTCCTGCAGTTTTTACATCGTGTTCGCCTTCGTTACCTTTTATCCAGTCAATTAGTTTCCCCCGAGGTGTGTTCGTGTTATCGATACAGCTCCCTTCCCATATGTCTCTCTGACTGTACTGCTTTGTAACAGATTGGTCGGTACGTTTAAATACGAGCTCCCCGTTTCCCGTAACCCATTCAAAAATTATTCTTAATCCTAGCATCTTAGGTATGGCGAAAGTTACTTTGACATTTCTTTTCAGAGTGCATATAAACAATTATCTCACAGAGTGTAGTCAATTCGACTCGAGCTATCTGTTATTTTCCGATTCAGAGTGCGTACCTCTAACACCATTTATCACAGGATGCAATTGGTTTGATACGATATTATCTTAATTCCACTGTCTCTGTTTTAACCTGCTATTCTGGGTTTTAACCTTAGAGGGCGTTTTTTTGTTTTCCGCCCGTTCACAATTACCATGCAATGTTCGATCCTGATATTCTGGTTAACACGAAGTGATTCATTCGATCATCCATGCAAAACACTGTCTGCGAGAGATCCCGGACGACGCCACCCATTATGTTGTATGTGTTGGTATTATGAAATTTTGATGAAAATAATAAAAATTAATAATTTTCCGAAAAATGCGCAAATCGCATTAATTATGATAGTGTGTGTATTAATACGCATAAATTATGATAATGCGTGTAATTATATGCATAAATTATGATAATCACGGAGATAATCGTAGTAATTTATGCTGAGGCTTGCGATTATGTTAATGTGTGCAGTTGTGATAATTTGCTTAGTTTCGTTTATCCAGGGTTATCAATCAGGATAACACGATTATCATAGATTCATTTACCGATTATCCTAGTGTGTGTTATAATATTTTAGGTCTCCATTTTCATATCTCATCACAGGATACAGTTGTCAAGAATAAGACAGTTTTGCATGGACTTGGAAGGAACCCTCGATATGCTTCTGGATTACAATTTTATTCTAACAAGCACGTGACATTCTATCATGCAGGTCAAACATGCGTCAATAATTCATGGGCAAGATTATGCAATTAACTAATATGAACGACAAAAACTTATGCAGTTGTGACATTATGCAATTATGCAATATGAATAACGAAAACTCTTATGCATTTATGTAACTCGACGGCAGCAACTGCTTTGCACGATCAGTTGATATTGAACGCACCACCTCGAAATGGCAAACCTTTTTGAAACGAAAAGACAGTTTTTCTTTTAAAGTCTTATTCGTGTGCGTGCTGTGTGTGCGTTGTCCCCTCGTAATATTAATTGTGTCGTTAGCTTGTGTGGTGTGAGAGGATACGAACAGCTCCTGCTGCTCCCTCGCTCGGCGTGTCGCTCGGCTTTTGCTCTCTCTCTCTCTCTCCACTGCTGGATTGAGCGGCGTTGGCACGATGTTCCTTGAAGAAACTTGCTTGCTTGGCGCTTGATGGTTCCGGGGGCTTGGTGCTGCTCGTGCGCTCTCTCTTTCTACTGCTAGATGACGAGTTGGCACGATGCTGTCCTTGAAGATGCTCGGTCGCTCGTGTCGCTCGGTGTCGCTCGGTGGCGCAAGGTGTCGCTCGTTGTCGCTCGTTCAGCGATCTCCGCCTTTCCTGCGGGTTGTTCGCTGGTCGTCACTCTGACGAGGAGCGATGCTTCGTTCGTGGCAGGGTGGACGTTGGCGTCTTTGTTGGCTTCACTCGCAGCTCTGCGACTCAGGGTAGCGATTCTTCTCAGGTGGTGCAGACCTCGGCTTGTAGCTACGCGTCGCTACTCCGCAAACCTCGTCATTCTGAATGACAGGAGCTTCTTCGTTGGCGGCGACGAGGAGAGATGGAGCCACAGCCCTGGAGATCTGTGATGGGGGCCAGAGCCCCTGACGATCTCTGTGATGGGGGCCAGAGCCCCTGACGATCTCTGTGATGGGGGCCAGAGCCCCTGACGATCTGTGGTGGAGCCGAAGATGGGCTCGTAGCCCGGATGATATGTGTGTTGGAGCCGAAGCCCGGACGATATGCTTTGTATGGATTTTCCTTCGGTTTATATCGGAAAATTCCACTCGGCTTCCCGAGTTGTTCAAAGGCTGTGTCATAAAACCTTCCTGTGGGGGTGGACCATCTGCGTCCGTGTGTGTGTCCGTCCGTGTGTTTCGCGTGCGTGTTTGTCCGTGTGTTTATTAGCTTTGAAGACACAGCTGTGTGTGTCGTTCTGGAAGAAAGGGGTGGGGGTCTCGTGACGGTGCCACCAAAGTTATCCATTAGCCAGACCGATGATTCGCGTCGAGTTATAAAAAAAACATTCGAATCCATGTTTTGTTACTGAATAATATTTGTCGCGAAAACTTACGCGTTAAGCGAGCTTAATTATTACCTCCCTTGCTCTGGGATCACATCCTTTGTCTCACACAGCTTAAGTTGGTTTGGTTTGGAAGTTGAAATGCAACTTATTTGCTGCTTGGTTCCATCTGCACAGTTATGCCGAAACCGTGTTCACGATGTTTCATCGTGACCCAACCTTTATGGGTGTCATTTCCTGGCTTGGTGCCTGTGTGTGGAGATCCTCTCGGAAAGACAAAGGCGGTCGTGTTGCTCGCTTTCCATGGGTGTTGTGTTTGGTTAATTTTGAGAGCCTTCTCCGCCCTTGATTCCTCTTCTATTTTAATTCCGTACTTATTATTCGACTTCTTGTGATTATTTGATCTGATATCCTGGCTAGGAATTTGTTTTGGAGCGAAATAGATGCCCTAATTATTCTTTGATGCTTCGGCCCGGCCGTGTAGATATTCTTTAAAGGTAAATAATGTCAGTACTTAATTAACAATGATGGGTCGCGATTCTGGTGCAGATTGTCTTTTGGTTTTCAATTGGAGTGAGGATGGATACTGTTTGCTTAATCTTTATGGTTGAGTTGGTAACTTGTGTATTTAACATGGTTCAAAGACCCATCTGTGCTTTTTGTCGTCGATGCTGTTTCTTTGTTAAGAATATAATTATCTCTTCCTCCGTGTCTCCTGGTTCTGCAACCCCCCGCCTGCAATTCCCCCCTCCCTTGTTCCTCTTGTGTGAAATTCGGGGAGTTTATGACCTTGATTACCCTCTTTCATGCCGTCTTTCCTTTGAAATGAGGTATGCGCGCATCTGTGGAAGTGTGGGGGCCTCTGTGGAAGTGTGGGGGCGTGTTCGTTCCCACGTGGCCCCGTGTCTATTAAAAAACAATATTATATATGATGGCAGAATAAGCCTTAAAAAAAAAAAATAATATTAAAAAAAAATAAAAAGGGGGTACATACACAACAGTGCAGCGAGATGGCTCCTAGGGCCACCGCCAGAGACCTGCAGCCCGTGCAGCCTCCACCAAGCGAGGAACACCGTGAGCACTGCTCACCAGAGACTCACCACTGCTCACCAGACTATAGCCACCACTCACCAGAGATGATAGCCACCACTCACGAGAGACGATAGCCACCACTCACCAGAGATGATAGCCACCACTCACCAGAGATGATAGCCACCACGCACCAGAAATGATAGCCACCACTCACCAGAGATGGCAGCCACCACTTACGAGAGACGATAGCCACTACTCACCAGAGACGATAGCCACCACTCAGTAGAGATGATAGCTACCATTCACCAGAGATGATAGCGACATCTCACCAGAGATGTGGATGTAGCTACCACTCACCAGAGATGATAGCCACCACTCACTAGAGATGATAGCCACCACTCACCAGAGATGATAGCCACATCTCACCAGAGTTGGTAGCCACCACTCACCAGAGATGACAGCCACCACTCACCAGAGATGATAGGCACCAGCCACACTGATAAGGTGGAAGTGAGTAACTGGTGTGGTGTGTAGTAGTAAACATCGCCACTGGGGAGACAAAGGCGGCTATGTGTGGTGCTGGCCACCCTCCCACTCGTGTGCCGTGTTGGCTTTCATTGGTGCCCATAACAGCACTTGTCCCAAAAGTATATACAGGCTATATGGGGGTTCTTTGTCTTTGTGTGTATATATAATGGAGCCCACTGCACTACGAACCCGGCCACCTGAGTTCGATTCCCACTCACGGCCAACGTCAGTGGTGAATATTTAGGCCTCCCCTAGGCTGACTCAGCCTCAAATGAGTACCTAGCTTAAACGTGGAAACATCGCCACTGGAGAGACAAAGGCGGCCGGGCCTGGTGTTGGCCACCTACTCCCTCGTGTGCCATGCCGGCCTTCATAGGTACTCGCAAACAGCACTTGCCCAACAGTCTGATATGGCTGTGGGAAACCTTTACCTTTGTGTATACACACACGTGTGCAAGAGTGTTCATGTCTAGATGTTGGTGTGTGCGCGTGTGTCTTGTTCCTCTGGGATGACGCAGGTGGAGTGGGTGTGGAGGTCACAAGGCTGCCGTGTCCTGCCTGCAACCGTCAGTTCATCTGCCGCTCGAGTCTACAGTATCACGTGCAGAGCAGACACCCCACTAAGCCCAGTAACAAAAGTCATCAGTGTGACCAATGTCCATACAGCACAGACTACAAGAGTACCTTGAAGAAGCACCAGAGAACACACACGGGAGAGAAGCCGTTCAAGTGCACCGTGTGTGAGAAGGCGTTTGCACGGCTATCACATCTTCACAGCCACCAGAGAACACACACGGGAGAGAAGCCGTTCAAGTGCACCGTGTGTGAGAAGGCATTTGCACATTTACAACATCTTCACAGCCACCAGAGAACACACACGGGAGAGAAGCCGTTCAAGTGCACCGTGTGTGAGAAGGCATTTGCACATTTACAACATCTTCATAGCCACCAGAGAACACACACGGGAGAGAAGCCGTTCAAGTGCACTGTGTGTGAGAAGGCGTTTGCACAGCTATCAGATCTTCACAGGCACCAGAGAACACACACGGGAGAAAAGCCGTTCAAGTGCACCGTGTGTGAGAAGGTGTTTGCAGACCCATCCAGTCTTTGCCGGCACCAGAGAACACACACCGGCCAGAATGCATTTTCTCATTCCCGTGGAAACAGAAAAGTCAGCCATCCTGAGCAAAACGCGCACAGCGCCGAGCTGTGAATTAGTTTTAAACAACAGGCCACGTGACTAGCCGAGGCTGTGCCACTCTTGAAACTGATTTTGAATGTGAACACGGAAACCTACGGACCCTCCTACACCTGCCTCACACTCTGTGGGGGGTGGGAGATTAAACCGACCTGGCCACCCCTCGATTGCAAGTGCGGAGTTCTAGGTCCCAACCACTGCACGTGTCCCCCCCCACCCCCATCACCTGGGGGTCCCTGTGTGTGTGAGTGTGCAGAGTCCCCCGTGCAGAGCTGCACTGTTGTTACCCTAGAGGGGGACACCGCAGGGCGATCCACCTACAGATACCCCAGTCTGCACGTCTCCCGCCGGTCTCCATGCGCACCACGTGCCGTCTCGTAGCCCTGCCCCGTGCGACGTACGTACAGTACGTACAGTACGTACCCATCCAGCGGTAGACTGAACCGCGGCCGATGACGAAGGTGGCATCCGCTCACAAATCTCCGTGCACTCAGTCCCGTAGCCCTGAGCCATCGCTTGCGCGATATTCACTTTGCCGCTGAGAGGAAAGCTACGGGGAGGAGGTGGGGGGGGGTGTTAGGAGAGGACATCTGTGGAACGGCTGGAGATCTGCGAAGAAGAGCTTCATAGCTCATCGGATTCCTGCGGTCTGAAAAAATATTCCGAGAGGGCGTTGGGGGAGGGGGGTGTAGGTATGATTGGGGCATCTGCACTTGGATCACCCTGCGTGTTGTTGCTGCCTCCCCCGTTGAAAATGTTCCCAGCGTGAACTTAACCCTTTGCCGTCGCGACGACGCCGCGCGCCGTGCGTGAACGTCGTCGTCGGAATAACAAAACGCAGTAAAAACTAAAGCAACATTATCGGTACCGAGGCTCCCACAGGGCCACGCGGGGCAGGGAGTGTGGCACAGTTTTCGCGCCGGCTAGCGCAGAGTGGCGGCGGTCGTGTCGCTACGCTTCTCTGCGGTGAGCAACGACGTCTTTATAACAACAACAGCAGTGCTGCTGCTGCTGCTGCCACTGCTGCGGTGAACGGTGACAGCCACCCCGTGACCTGTGACCCCCACCCCGTGAACGGTGACACCCACCCCGTGAACGGTGACACCCACCCCGTGAACGGTGACACCCCATGGGTGGAAAAAACCCGATTTTTCCAGCTGCAGGCATCGGGTTTTTTCTTTAACACAATTAAACCCGATTTCGGGGAATTAAAACCTGGTTTAATGAATACGAAACTCTGATAGGCTTAGGCTGCTTCCTCGTCGGTGCTGCTATGGTACTCGGGGCCGTCGGGCACGGGGTAGTCGTAGAATGCGGCGGGCAGGTTGGTCTTAATGAACACGAGCTTCTCCACAATCGTGGGCGCCAGTGAGTTCCTTAGCTTGGAATGGATGAAGCCCATCGTTGAGAAGTGCGGTTCTGCAATTAGAACCAATGAAACCGGATTTCTCTCAATCTTAGATGATCGGGTTTAATATAAAAAGACAATTAAACCCGATTGTAAAAAACCCGACTGTGCCACCCTTGTGACACCCACCCTGTGAACGGTGACACCCACCCCGTGAACGGTGACACCCACCGACCCTGCAACTCTGCAGACGTCTCGGACGCGGGAAAGGGTTGAGAGATTTTCTGCGTCGTCCTGGTTGCTCGCGTGATGTCGCACGGTGGTGGCGCGCGTTGACTCTTGCACGTTTAAGAAAGTTGAGCGTTAGTTTGTGATTCTGTTTAAAATGATATATATACATACTTAAACTAACAAACATTATCTTGGGATTCTACCAAGTAAGGTCCAACTGGATACGTAGTAGCTCTTTTATCAGACGCGACCACCTGGCCATCACAAATGAAAGCTCAACGAAGTGGCTTATCATTGTGTGGACATTTATAGCGGCCAAATACTCTGATTGCGTGATCTCGATTCTAAATGTCGAGGGAAAACCGGAGGACCTGGAGAAAATCCACACGACCACGGGGAGAGAGAGAGAGAGACGCGCAAACTCAAAATATACAGCAGGCGTCAGGGTCGGAATCAAACACACGATCTCCTGTATACCAGGAGAGGTAGTTAACATCTCCACATGTGTTCAGAGTATTTGGCTGCTGTAAATGTCACGTGATAAGCCACTTCGGTGCGCTGCTGTCATTTGTGATAGCCAGGTCGCTACTACACAGCTCAGTGGGGGCCTTACCTGGAAAAGTAAAATGATTAATAAAAATCTACTGTATTCTTGGTTCTTTTGGTAAAGTCACGTAGAAGGGAAATAATAAAATAATAAAAATGTAAGAATCAAATTAACACGACGTTTCGATTGCAACACAAGCAATCATCAGTTTATGAAAACCCACAACAACAAAAACAATATTGCTGTGGTTTTCACACCTGATGATGATTGCTTGCGTTGCAATCGAAACGTCGTGAGAATTGTATAGTTTTATTTTTATCATTTTATTATTTTCCTTCTACGTGACTTTACCGAAAGAACCAAGAATATGAATCCCTGTAGTCACGAAATCTTCAAATCGAAAAAAAATCTCTTCTTGGTTCTTTCGGTAAAGGCACGTAGAAGGGAAGTAATAAAATAATAAGAATAAAACATAATAAAATAATATGATATAATAAAATAATATAATAATATAACATATTATTATATAAGTCACTTATAAAGCAAGTAATAAAATAATAAAAATAAAACAATAATTTAATATAATAAAATATTTTATTATATTTTGTTTCATTATCTTTTATTTTTATTATTTTATTACTTCCCTTCTACGTGACTCTACCGAAAGAACCAACAATATGAATCCCTGCAGTCACGAAAGCTTCAAATCGAAAAACAAAAATCTCCTGTTGAGAATGACCTCACCGGACCGGTGGAGGCAGCGCTGCCGTCTTGGTCCCAATTGGCAGCGGCGGCGTCTCGTTGGTTGTGAAGGCGGCCCAGCTCACACAGCCCGTGCCGGTGCAACAGGCCGTAGTCTACCCGGGGTTCAAGCGGCCTAGGCTACATTGTACCCGGGTGTATCATGGCCGAGGCCAAATTATACCCCTCTAGGCCAAATCATACCCCCATGATAGTAATAGTGTTGAGCGATATCTTCTTGTTTAGTGCTGCCTAACGGCGTGTGCGACTTCACGATGATATTGGTCCCGGTCTAGCACGGCGTGTAGAGTTTGTGCTGTTGTTAATTGTAGCCATGTTTTGATGTTACTGAGCCATGTCGTTTTTGGCCGTCCTGGTCGTTTTTTCCCTTCGATTTTTCCTTCCAGGATTTGCTTTAATAGCTGGTATTTGTGATATACACATGAATTACTAAATTTTTCCAACATTTTATTTAAAACTGTAAACACATAGACTTTGATTACTTCAACCAGAAAAACTGATAATAACCCTAAAAATGCTTCAATTGATCAAATTGAGATTCTTACTTCCATTTATACGCTTTTTAGATATCGATTGAAGTCCGTTGTCGGCTGTTCTCTGTATGGATAATTGCCTTTGAACTTTCACATGGGGCATGTTCTGCCCTGGAGGGGGGGTATGGTCTGGACCAGTCTAGTTTAAACCCCCGGGTATAGTTTAGCCTAGGACACTTTATCCCCCGGGTCTACTCTGGCCTGGGCCAAACTATATCCGGGTTTAATCGGGGCAGGGGTTATTTTTAAATCCTTTATATTAAGTTCACTTGCTTGCTTGCTTGCGCGCTCACGACCGTGCAAATCTTTCAGTCGTTTTTTAACCGACTTCCCGTGATCCAATCGAGCTGACATTTTGCACACAGACTCGTTGTGCGTGACAATTAATTTTCGTGAAAAAATTTTCCCAAAATTTTACACTTTTTAGGAAAAAAAAAATTGTATTTAATTACCAATTGCTTAATGGTGGCAGGCAACCATCTGAGCCATAGGTGGCAGCCATCTCAAGCCAGAGGACGAGAGGACTCTAGCCGCCACGCATATAAAGGATTTATAGTGAAAAACTTTGTTTTTACGGGTTAATTTTTAGCCTGTTTCACCGGTATCTCCAGGAGGTCGGAGCGACTTGCTCTGCGGTAACACTTTTCCGTGACAGAGGTTTGGTTTTTGTTGTTGTTGTTGGGTTAGAGATCTCGTAAATATCAACATTGTGTCGTTAACCCACCACCACCCACCACCATCGCCTGACACGGCCAATCAGTCAGGGTTTGTCACGTAAACGAAACGTGCCAATTGGTTACCAACTTCAGCACACACAGCGCTTGTGTGTCGGGGAGAGTGAACCCACAACAGCATTTACAATTCGAGTGCCGGTGACGTTTCGCCGGTGATTACAAACAACGGCGACCGGTTTCATCGGGCGATGTGCCAGGATTGTGATCCAACGCCATCTAACCCAGGAGCAGCAGCAGCGACGACAACAAAAACCTTCATCACAGACACCGCTGGTCGCAAGAGACTGCGCGTGGCGCTTTGTGTTGCCGTTGCCACGAATCGTCGAAGGGCGTTCACGATCTGTTGTTCTCCTGTAACGCGGTGGTCATTTCGATTTAAAGCTTCTTTCGTGACTGCAGGGATTCATCTTCTTGGTTCTTTCGGTAAAGTCACGTAGAATGGAAATAATTAAATAATAAAAATAAAGCAATAAAGTAATTGTTTTATTTTTATTGTTTTATTATTTAATAATAAAAATAAACATTTACTTTATTATGTTATATTTTTATGGAAATAATAAAAATAATAAAAATAAAACAAGAAAGTAATTGTTTTATTTTTATTATTTTATTATTTAATAATAGAATAATAAAAATAAACATTTACTTTATTATGTTTTATTTTTATGGAAATAATAAAATAATAAAATTTAAACAATAAAGTCATTGTTTTATAATTATTATTTTTATTTAATAATAAAATAATAAAAATTAACATTTTCTTTATCATGTTTTATTGTATTTATTTTATTATTTCCATTCTACGTGACTTTACCGAAAGAACCAAGAAGAGGTGGTCATTGTTGCGTTCCTGAAGAACACGCGTTGTGGAGAAATAATATAAACTATAGGGGGTGAAGCGTGGTCCGCGACAACACGCAAGATGATGGGTGAGACAGAGGCCGGACTACGACTGAGGCGCGTGGGTAGCGTCTAGAAGCAGCATCCAGCAGCATCCCAATGCCTCCTCGCGTGATGCCGCTACGCCGAGGCAGCCGCACGGAGAACCGCTTGTTCCTACTCGCGTTGCGACCTCGTTCCGTTCGCTCGCTCGCGTTGCATCCAATCCGCATCCGCGTCACAAACAGCGTGTTCCCCTACACATCATTCATGGCGTTTTATCATCCAATCGGCGTTGTTCAAACTAACACGCGGCGTTGTAGGAGAACCAGACTGTGCCGTTGTCTTCTGCTGTTTAACGCAGAGGCCGCATCGACCGTTCCAATAGTCGCTGTAGCCACTGCGAGCCCCAAGCTGTCGGCTCCCGGCTCTTAAACTGCCCCCCCCCCCCTGGCGTTATCTGTAATCGTTACACACAGCAGCACCTGGTCACAACTTCTCACTGCTAATCCTAACAACACCAATCCTAGTCGTCATCCCTGCACCTCAAGGATGGTAACACTATGACCCAACAAAATTACACATCACACTGTCCGACAGATTGCAAGTCACACGGCCCTACAGATTCCAATTCACACTCCCCTACAGATTTCAATTCACACGCCCTACAGATTTCAATTCACACGCCCTACAGATTTCAATTCACACTCCCCTACAGAATTCAATTCACACGCCCTACAGATTTCAATTCACACGCCCTACAGATTTCAATTCACACGCCCTACAGATTTCAATTCACACTCCCCTACAGATTTCAATTCACACTCCCCTACAGATTTCAATTCACACGCCCTACAGATTTCAATTCACACTCCCCTACAGATTTCAATTCACACGCCCTACAGATTTCAATTCACACGCCCCTACAGATTTCAATTCACACTCCCCTACATAATTCAATTCACACGCCCCTACAGATTTCAATTCACACGCCCCTACAGATTTCAATTCACACGCCCCTACAAATTTCAATTCACACGCCCCTACAGAATTCAATTCACACGCCCCTACAGATTTCAATTCACACGCCCTACAGATTTCAATTCACACGCCCCTACAAATTTCAATTCACACGCCCCTACAGAATTCAATTCACACGCCCCTACAGATTTCAATTCACACGCCCCTACAGAATTCAATTCACACGCCCCTACAGATTTCAATTCACACGCCCCTACAGATTTCAATTCACACGCCCCTACAGAGTTCAATTCACACGCCCCTACAGATTTGTCTTGGTCATGTGCCTACCTTTCCTCTACTCTGCACTGCTACGGTGTTTATTGTGTTGTGTTTGTTGTTGTGGCGTTCTGACCACGTGCCCCTACTGGACATCTGTGGATAATAAAGAGCTTCACAGCTCATCGGATTCCTCCAGAATAAAAATTTTAAACTTAAAAACTCTGATGACGTCACTGCGTGGTGACGTCACGCGTCTCGCCCCCCCACTCCCCCGTTACCCCCCACCCCTCCCACCCTCCATTCCCCCCTCCCACCACTCACCAACCGCCATTCCCCCCACCTCCAATTCCCCTCCCCACCCCCCCCACCCCCTCCTCCCCCCCACCCCCCACTCCCCCCCCACTCCCCCCCACCTCCCACCCCCCACTCCCCCCCACCACCACCAACCGCCGCCATTGGCCACTGAGTGACGGTGACGTCACCACGGCGCCTGTGCCAGGCTGGGTGCACTTCGAGGCTGCCGCGTGAAGTGTCGACGGCTCGACACTGAGGTGGTGACGTCACGCGAGCGTTGTGTTTAACGATTTAACCACGTGACGATATTACGATATTAGCGTAAAAATATGAACATTAGCTGAAGTGATGTGAATACGTTCGGATTACCTCAAGTAATGTTACATTTACCTGAGGTGATGTTACCTCGCCTTCCATTGCATTCCGATTACCTTACCCTGAGGTAATAATCTCTGTCTCCCTGTGACTCTGTCTCCGTGTGACTCTGTCTCAGTGTGACTCTGTCTCCCTGTGACTCTGTCTCCCTGTGACTGTCTCAGTGTGACTCTGTCTCCCTGTGACTTTGTCTCAGTGTGACTCTGTCTCCCTGTGACTCTGTCTCCCTGTGACTCTGTCTCAGTGTGACTCTGTCTCCCTGTGACTCTGTCTCAGTGTGACTCTGTCTCCCTGTGACTTTGTCTCAGTGTGACTCTGTCTCCCTGTGACTGTCTCCCTGTGACTCTGTCTCAGTGTGACTCTGTCTCCCTGTGACTC